TTGGGGGTATATGTGTCAAGCCATTCTTCAACCCTAGGACAGGGCAGGGAAAGCTGTGGCAATGGGTGTTTCAGCATGTTGTATAAATGAAAACCATTATGCTTAAGCAGAATTTACATGCTGTCCTATTTTTGGCAGTACAAACTGTCTTGCCATTTACAGCAAGTCAGGCTATTGCTTTTTCTCCCAGCACTCATTAGCAAGATTAGAAGAGGCCTGGGATGATAAGGGAGAGACAGTTAACGTATTGGTCCTGGAGGCTGTGCTGGAGGATGTGATGCTAAACCAGCACAGCTCATTTGGTGGGCCGGAGAGCGGTACAAAATGTCCTGCTGCCACAGACGTGGCTAGTGCTCCTGACATGCTTCTCTGAGGGAACTATACAAGTCACTGGTGCCATCCGGCTGTACCAGCGAGGCTGTGAGGGCACTGTCTCCTCCCTGCAACTCTTCTTGGGGTACGTACCAAATGAAATTCTCCCTGTGGGGATTTCAGCTGTGTTTCAGCAGGCTGCACCTGTCCTCAACCCTCAGGTCCTTTGCTATATGCAGCCCCAGCTTCATATCTCTGAAAGATGCTTTGAAACATTAAGCGTTTTCCAGAAGCGTTGCCTGTGTGTCCTGACATCCAGCGTCTGCCCTGCCTTTTGCCTCTTGGTGCTGACAATCTCTGTCCTTCTGGTGGGAGGTGACAAGGTCAGCCCTGCAGAGGCTGCGCTCTGGTCCCAGCAGAGCCACTGCTTGTGGGCCCCCTCGATTGCTAGGAAGCGGCTGTGACTGCCTCTGGCAGTAGTTGTCCCCACGTAGCCACAACGGAGATTGCCATGTGCATGGCAGGTGTGGGTATTTTAAGCCATTATAAGGAGTTTACCAGCCTGAGGTGGGTTATCCTCTGCCTTCCTGCCTGCTTTTAGCTCCAGATCCTTCCACAGCAGAATAGTCAAACTAAAAGTTGAATATGAAATACAGACTAGTTGTGGTTCATACACTTCAACACAGGGTCGCAGTGGCACAGCACATCTCCAGATCCAGGTTCAGGATTTTCTAGGATATCCCACATCAGAGTTATAACAATTGCTGTTAACAAGTGTTTGTTCATGGGTAATTGTGATAAAGGCTCTGCTTTTCTCTCTGCCAGCCAGAAGGGGAGCCTTGCCGGGGCTGAGCTGTTGGATGTGGCTCCTAGCCTGACCCGTGCACAGTTGTGTGACTGCTGCACGTTCATCTCACGGTTTGAGGCGCCTTGCACTGACTGCTGCAGGGGATTGTTAAAGCACAGGAGCGCTGGTGTCCCCACCGCCTCGCTTAGCTAAACCCACTGAGCCCCACAGCCTGCGTTTCCTCCTTCACCTTCCTGCTGCCTTTGGCCCTGGTGCCCATAGGTTGACTGTTGCCACGCAGAGCAAACCAGCCTGACAAAAAGATGGTTTTCACCCACTTGGCTCCCAGCTGTGGGAGTCTGGGGGGCTGTTCCTCCCATCAAGGAGGCACTGGCTCCTGGCACTTCACCGCCTAAGTGGCGAGTGGCAGGAATGTGAGCGATGCAGGAGTTGCCATCAGTCCAGTGGGAAACCAAATGTCTGACCAGATGACGGCTCTAAATTTAAGGGCTTGCTGTCAAGCCATATGTGTGTTAATGTGCCCTTCTGTGACCAAGCTAAAGATAATTTTCCTGTTTGGAACAGCAGCTGCATTGTAAGTTGTATAGAGAAACTTTCCCATTAACTAAGAGTGATCATAAGAGCATGATCTGCCCTGAGAGGATGAGCAAAGCTGGAGAGATGTGACTTTGGGGTAGGTTCCTGACATTCCACAGAAGCTGAAAAGAGGCCGTTTATAGAAACTCAAAAAAATGTTTGGCTCCTGGAAGAATACATAGGCCTTGCTGTTATTTTCATGTAAATGCCACTTGAGAGAATAGCAAAACTTTTTTTAAACTTTAGGAAAAGTCACTTTAAATTATCTAGAGTTCAATATTCTCTGCAAAAACTGAGCCAAAAAAATTTAAATATACAGACAGTGCTGTGGAACAGAAGGAAACTTCCACTAGAAAATTAGAGTTGGAAATACTCGTGTGCTGCAGTGAGTCTATTTTTAACACACCTGCATATTCAAAACAAGTTGACCTTCACAGAAGGTCCAGTTACGTGTGTGAGTGTGTGTGTGTGTGTGTGTGTGTGTGTGTGTGAGAGAGAGAGATTGTGTGATAGGTCATTTAGTATGTTACTCCCACCTCTCTGCTTGAAGGGTGGGTTTAGACATGCAGTAACAGGTCAGCTGCTTAACTTGCAGCAGTGCAAACACGTGTTGTCTCAGGGAAGGTGGGTCACTAAACTGTGTTTAACTGATGCCTCCTGAACATGAGTGGATAATACTTCCTGATCGCCTTGTGGATTTAAAACACAGGAGGGAGTGCTGCACGCTGTAGCCTTGTGGAGGTTTGCAGGTGTACTCAGTGATGCTACAAATCTGTTTTCCCATCTGGTAACAACGTTATCTGGAGTGCCATGTGCAGGGAGGTGTTCCTGGGGTGTTGTATGGGCATGAGAGCTGCAGACTTTATGATCTGTGGTTTATCGTCCTTCAAGGAAATAATGCCCAGGATACTTTGTTAACATGTAGCATTGCTTGGAGAAAGACATGTCTAGCCAGGATCCTATACAAAGTACTTCCTTAGTGCTGCCCTGCAGATCCATGATGGGGCAGTGTGCTACTGAACTGTGCAGCTGTGCCTCTCTCATGACCATGGGCTGGTACTTGCATGTAGATATGGATGGGGGGCCCTGAACAGTCTGACCCGGCTTTGAAGTCAGCTGTGCTTTAAGCATATATGTTCTGCAGCTCTGTGGTATTCAGCATTCCCTGACTAGGGAGCTGCAGTGTCATGTTTCATGTATTCAGTACTACACGTCTTGTTTTAATTTCAGGTTCTGTTTTGGCATAAAAGTGAGATTTGTGAGACTTCTCTAAGATGTCTTACAGAAAGGAGCTAGAAAAATACCGAGACCTGGATGAAGACAAGATCCTTGGAGCTCTGACAGAGGAGGAACTCAGGAAGTTAGAGAATGAACTGGAAGAGCTGGATCCTGATGTAAGTAATTTTTACATGAGATTTGCTAGCTGGTAAATCTCAGTAGTTGTGGGGGAATGGGCTGCATTCCTGATCTGTATTTAAGTGGGATCCTTTGCAGAGCCTGAACTCAGTGCCAGGATGGAAGAGATTGTCCGCAGATGAGCAGAAGCAGTTTTGCCATCACAGGCACAGGCTACATGTGGGACTTTGTTTCTGTGATATTCCCCTGCCCTTGGTCTGGTGTGCATGTTCCAGTGTGATGAGCACTGTGATTTGCAGCACTGATGTGAACCAGTGCTGGTGCAGGGCAGTAAACCTGTGGCAACTCTATCTCTGTTTCTGAGCAGGCCATCTTGAAGGGACTGTTTTGGGGTTTGTGGGTTGGTTGGGGTTTTTCTCACAGCAAACTTCAGATGGTCTGTGTTTTCCTCCACTTAGGCTGAAATCCAAATCCCAGAGTTTTGCAAAATGGGACAGTTGCTTTTTAGCGAGCTCCCAACATCAGTAGGAGTTGTGCATATGCAAACACTGGGCCTGCTGGTGCCAAGCAATGAAAGCTTTTTGGAGGCAGTGTTGTCCTAGCAGGGGATGTGCAGAGCCAACTGGCAGGCCTCTGGGTTATGGCAACATTAGATGATGAGGCTTGAGCACTGCCAAGTACCACTAACATGCAGTTAGTGTTTCTGGGTGAAATGATGGGTAGTGTAAATTGCATCATCAGTATTTTTAATTGCAACACAGGAAAATAATTAAGAGGTGTCAGGCTCTTAAGCATATGGGCTGGTTACAGCTGCCTCAGAAGACACAGAGTCAGGCAGCGTTCTGTGAAAGATGCAGAAAGGTAAAATAATCATGAACATCTGTCAGTACAGGTGCAGCCTGACTACAGGAGTTAAAGCATGAAGACTGCATGGTCACCTCTTACAGCATGAAGCCTGAGGAAGCAAGCTGTTTCCTATGCCACCCTGCTTGTGCATTAGCACAGTTCTCTGTTGCCCTCCAAGGTTGCCTGAGTCTAATTGCTTCCTATTAGTCATTTTACTTCCCAGGCTTTTCACTGACACAGATTTAAGTTATAATGAATTACTTTTATTAGTTGGGCATGGAAAAATCAGCATGTTGTTCAAAATCACCTTGGATGTCTTAAAAAGTAAATGTTGACTTCTATCCAACAAAGCTTTAAAGAACATGCTTAGTGTCAAATCTGGGAATAGTCTTACTGCATTAAGTCTGTTCTATATTTAAATATAAGCAGGTGCTTACGTGCCGTATGTGTCAGGCACAAAGCAACTTCCCATGGTGGGTAATGTGACTGACTAACAAGGAGGCAGTTTGAAAAAGGGCTGAGGTTCACAGGGGTTTTGTTCTGCAATGGAATGACCTTCTCTGCAAGACCTTGCCTGTAGTTTTGTGATAGATCATGAAAGACAGAGAGACCACCATGGCTCTCTGGTCTGCTCTGTGAAAGACCATGGGATTTCCCTGAACTGATTCTTGTTGGGACACATGGGTCATGTGGACACTTGGACAGACACATACAGGGAGAAGATCGACTGAGTTTAGCAGCTTGATTCTGGTGCTGTGACTGTTTCAGAGAGGCAGCAGAAATGGTGATGGTGTGGGAAGAAGCTAGGGAGGAGCGGGAGATGATGGCTGAGAGACCCAGAGGAAAAGCTGGAACTGCTATTGTAGAGAAACATCCACTTGGCAGCATGGAAATCTTGTAATGGAGCCAGCATCTGAAATTGGAGGGGGAAAGGAGTGTCACATGTCTTAGATGGTAGGGGAATCAGTGGGTTTGGATGGAGAGAACCTTTGCATAAGGAGAAGCAAATTTTCTGGCAATGTGGAAGAAAGTGCAACGAGGAAAGTGGAGAGGGGAGAGCATTTGGTGGATTGGGATTGTGGCTTGCAGAGATAACCCATGTTTCTCCCCTCCATGCCTAGAATGCATTGCTGCCAGCAGGGCTCAGGCAGCGAGATCAGACGCAAAAGCCACCAACTGGCCCGTTCAAAAGGGAAGAACTCATGGCTCACCTAGAAAAGCAGGCAAAGGATGTTAAAGACAGAGAAGACTTGGTTCCTTTCACAGGTGAAAAAAGAGGTATGGTTATTCTTTGCCACACTGAGTGTGTCACAGTGCAGGCACAGTAAGTACACAGCAGAAGGGTTGTGTCTGACCCATGTTGCTAAGCATGACTTCATTTCGACATCACTGGTGTGATGGATCTGCTCTCTCTGCTGTCTAGCCCCAGTCCAGGCTGGCTAATATATTGGGGTGTGCCCAAGAGGTCCATGCACTTGCTGATTTGGGTACCACCTGATAAGTGATAAGTGATGAACAGAGACTCTACCACTTTGCAGCCTCTTTTTGTCCCCATCCCACTGCAGCTATATTAAGTTTTGGGGAAGACATTATCTTCTGTTCTCTCTTGTTCCACCTGTGCCCTGTCCTCCTGTGAGCTCTGCAGGCTGTGCTCTGTCTTCCACCCTTGCCCTCCATCCCTACATTCTGAACTTCATCTCAGTGTAGAGAAACTCCACAGCTCCCCTCAGCTGTGATGATCCCAACAGTTCCTGTCTAGTCAGCATCACCTCTTGACAACCCCAGCCTCATTTCCCAGTCTGCTGCAGCTTGAATGTTTCTGTCTTCCCACACCATACCCTGTGGCAGCTGCTGCACTGCTGCTCTGCGTGGCCCTGGGGGCTGTGAGCAAGCAGGTTGCTCTGCTTCTTCTCTTTCCTCTCCTTCTGGCATTTCCTGTTCTCCTGTGACATGTCCCCTTGTCCAGAGGATTTTCCTACTCCCATTAGCACTCTGAATATAAACTGACATGGTATGTGGTCTGCTCTGTCCTTGCCTCTGGGTTCCAGGAGCAGCTTTATTTCTGCCACTGTGTCTCCCTCTGTACCATTGTCCCCCTGCTGCATAAGACCTGGTCATACACTGTTCATGCTACTGGTTGTTTCATGTCAAAAAAAAAAAAAAAAGTGCATGAAAATGTAGGCATGTGAGCATGTTACCCAGCTGAGGTCTTTTTCAAAGCTGATCCATGTGCCTCTCCAAGAAACCTTGTTCTAAATCTGTCCATTTAATAAAACTTGAGGTGGTATTTTTAGGAAAACAAAACAAAACAGTTCTCCTTGAAATAAGTAAATGAAAGAGTAAATTGTGTGATATCAGGAAGAGTGATTTAGCACCTTCAAACATACCTCAGCCCAGGGCTGGCTACCAGCCTGACTAGCCCAGCAGGTAGTAGCAGTGCTCTGCAGGAGTTGAAGGTATTTGAGGCATTTTGAGTCTTCAGCTTCTGGTCTGAGCTAATTACATTGTAATCTGATGTGATCTCAAACACATTAAACATATTTTCACTTGTAACATGCTGTTGAGTGATGACACTACTTACATTGACTGTGAACCAGAGATGGTAAATTACATATTCACAGTTGTGGCAGAGCTGGAAATAAATCACCACGTTTGCAGTTCAGAGGGTGATTTACTAGTTTGCCATGGGAGCTGCTCTCCCTGGCCGTGTTTCTGGACAGGGTAGGAGTGTGTGCATACATGCTGCATTATGATATAATGCATGTGTTTGCAAGCACCATTTAATTTAAAGTTCAAACTTGTAATAAAGTGTGATTGAGATATGAAACCTTCTAAAATTAAACCCCAGAAGTTTCAATGACACTAAGATGTCAAGAGGAGTTACTGTGTGATGGCAGAATTTTTCATTTTCCTATTCCCTGCTGAACCAACCAGATGGTGTGTGCAGTTTGCCAAGCTGTGCATCCGGTAGGACAACAGTTCCAGGTCTTCGCACCAAGCCAGAGCTGAGTGGGCCAGCCCTCCCCAGGCATTTTGCTGCTGAGTACCCAGAAGGTGCCTGGCCATGCAGGCACACATGACGTTCTGCCTATTTTTGCAAGAGCAGCTGTGTCCCAGGAGGCAGATTCCTGGCCTCTTCGTCAGGGCAGCAGCGTGCAGGCAGGAGATGGGCCGTTTTGCTAAAGGCTGTTTATAGCAGCCTCCATTTTGTACTGGGGGAGCCTGAAGCGCAGTTGCTTCTTCCTTGAGGCTAAATTTAGCTCCTTCTGCTTCTGCACATCCCTGAGCGGTAGGATCTTTGTTTCTCCCCTTTGGTGCTGCTGACTCTGGTGCCAGGAAGGGGGACAAAAATAGTCCTGGCTGGCTTGCCAGGCCAGGAGTTTTGCACTCACTATGTCTGTGCAGTGGTGCTGGAGTATTTCAGGGGAGGAGAATGCTCTGAAATGCTCGGGATCCCTTCCCCTCCTCCTCCTGTCCTGCCGCAGTGCTGGGTTTACCCAACAGACTGATCTCTGTCATAGTGTGTTAAAACATCACAAGCCCCTCTCTTTTCTTTGGTGATGGAGTGGTCGGAGGTGGGTTCGCTGTTGTGAAATCTCAGACTGGACCTGTTCAGCCTCTGCAAAGAGATCTGCCTGCCTGTTGGCGGTGCCAGAAGTCTAGCTGGGAGCAGCCATGCAGTGCCTTAAACTGTCTGCAGCTCCATGCCTCCCTGGGATGCAGCTGGCTGTGGCAGAGAATGGTTTGTGTATGGCTTGCCCGGTGATCATCCTGGACAGTGGTAAGGGGGAGAGGCAGGGAGCCCATGGCATTCAGAGCTGGGCTGAAGCTGTGTCCTCGCTGCACAGCCACCTGTCCACATGTGCAGCCCCTGTTAGGAAAGGCCACAAGAGAGCAGCTGAGATGGCAGCATTACCAGCTATACCTGTTGCTTCACACCTCTGGCTTGCAGGGAAGAAGCCTGTTACTTGGCCTGTTGATGTTCTGGGAATAGAGCCATGGAGGTCTCCATCTGGCGTGCCCTCTGTGTCTCTCCCCCTGACCTACTGTCCTCTGCAGCAACATTGAGCCAGAGCGGCTGCTCCAAGCTTGCTTCTTCTTGCATCCCATATGCTTGCTGGATGACCAACTGCTATCCATGTCTGCTGCCAGACCCCCTTTACCACCTCCTTTCTGCCCTTTTTTGACTAATGTGCCATCTGCCCTGCTATTGTGCATTTGGACTGAATTAGCAGCAGGAGCTGTTTCAGTGTCAGGACCTGTCCTGCACAGTGCTGGAGCCAGGCTGCTGGCCTCTCTTGGTCCATATGGGTGCTGGCAGATGTCCATCCCTTTTATGCAGCCTTTAAAGAAGTGAAGTCCTGCAGGGTTAGGCTGCATGTGGCTCTCTGAATGCTGTGTATTGAACAGTCATTGTCCTGTACAAATGCACTATTGGGCTTTTGTAGATGCAGCCCGCTGTTCTGGCAGAAGTGTCCAGCTCCGCAGTTGGAGGTGTGTGGCAGGTGCCTTCTGGCTCACACTGCTGCAGGACTCGGACCCAGATAATGGGAGGAATTTAGTGTCTCCTACGATTTTTTTCTCTGGGTCCTTGTGCTCCCCCCGTGTCCTTTCCACTGTGCAAATCTCACCCCACAGAAATACATCTGCATGGCTAGTTGTGAAACAGGTGCTGTAGCTATACTGAGAGTGACATCACGTTGCATTTATAGGAAAAGCTTGGATCCCCAAGCAGAAGCCGATGGATCCTGTTTTGGAAAGTGTGACTCTGGAGCCGGAACTGGAGGAAGCCCTTGCTAATGCCTCTGATGCAGAACTCTGTGACATTGCTGGTAAAATAGTTTAACATAATTTGGGGGTTCAAGTTGTTCGACTACTAGTTTCTTTGAGCTTTTTGCTGTTTATCTGAACACTGTCAGTTTTGACAGGATTGATTTATTTGTTTAAAAAGTATGTATTTAAAGTTACTCTCAGCCCATGTGATTTAATCAGGAGCACGAACCAAAGCTGAGGAGGGAGAAGGGTTTATCAAGGGAACACAGTGTGCTGTTTGATCTCTTCTCCTGTCTCTGCCACTGAATCTTGCAAATTGCAGCCTGTCACCTTCAGGAGCACAGCTTTCTTCAAGCCAAACATCTAGGAAACAATCAAGCAGACCCACTGTGAGCGTGGATTTCTTGTGCAACCTATTAAAGGAGCTGTCAGGTTAGAGCAGCCTTTCAACAGACACTCAGGGCTGTTTGTTAAAAAACTTTTACACACATTTTAAAGCTATGGATTTCTTGCGCTTTGTGCAGTCAGTTGGTTTTGTGAGTGTTAGCTCCAGGATAGAAGAATCCAGTGTTAAAAGATTGGTGCACTTCATGACAACTGAGAAGCAGGTTGGAATGTGTAGTGATCTGGAGAGGAGGACAGAGCAATTGCAGGTGCTCTTCAAGCCCCAACAGCATGCTCTTCACCAGGCTAAACAAGCCTCGTGCAAACCCAGGACAGGTGTGGTCCCTATCTGGGGATTTAGGTCTCTGTGCCAGGTAAGTTCAAGCAGTGTCCCATTGCTGCGTTTCGGGCAATGTTGTCTGAGTGGAGACAAACCCCTGCAAGCCTCGTTGCTCTGCCACTTTAGAGATGACACTATTGGTATTTCACTGAAGCCAGTAGCATGGACTTAGCTCTGTGACTGGAATAGGATATGCCTTGGCCAAAAGGAGAGTATGAACACCACCTTGGTGCTTTACCAAGCTTACATGTCCCCTGCTGGTCTAGCAGTTGATGGGTATTTCAGTGCTACTGGCTGCTTCTTCCAGTTCTATCTTCTTCAGGCTTCTGTACTGTTTAGCAGTATCCCCCATGCCCAAAGTGTGTAAGATAACCTGTAGAATAACCACACCAACTAGACATCTTCTACATAATAATATTGTATTTTGGCTTAGAAATGTGTTTCTGTGTTAAGGCTTCCAACATATGTACCCTGGCCAAGCACTGCATCTCTGGGTTTTGTTTTTTTTCTCTACTCCTAGAGTCCTGTAAAGCCCTATACTAAAAAGTCTGCCTTTCTAAGCTCCAAATCTGTGCAGCAGTTATTTTCACAGAGAAATGCTGTTTAGGGCAGCTTGTTCAGCAATTTGTGGGAGAATACACTTGAAGTGGCAGCAGGAGAACCAATGTGATACAAGCTGTGCTGAAATCTCAGTATTGACAGTGACAGCGTTGCTCCTGCCTGTTTAGCAGGGCTTGTTTAGCAGAAGCTCGTTTTACTCCTGCCTGTTTAGCAGGCTTGTTGTCAGCTGTGGCATATTAGATCCCTTCCTTGGCAAGGCCGGTAGGGTAGTTCTTGTGGGTGGCTCCCAACAAGTCCTGGAAGGGCTCCCGTGCCTTTGGTCAGCTGGGGGAGGCAGAAATGTTGTGCCTTCATTCTGCTTGAGTTCCTTTGGATAATACACATAAGCACAAGACTTAGAAACAGCGGGTCCCTCTAGTCTACCGGCACAAACTCTAGCCCCCAAATAACCTGTGTTCCAGATCCTTCCCTCTGTCTGCAGTCCAGATATGCACAGTCCTGGTGGTGGAGAGATTTCACTGTCAGAGTAATCTGTGTTTGGGGTGTATGTGTGTCCCCAAAATGCTGAGCCTGAAATTTCAGCTGTGAGTACATGGCAGAGAAAAGGGCTGGTTAAAATACAAACAAGCAAACTCCAAGTGCCCAACCTCACTCAGACTCAGTCACAGACTGCTTGGGTCCCTGCAGTCCAAGCGGAGATATGCTGGCGTGGTGTGGGGAAGTGGACGGTGGTGTTCGTTGACACCCTTTGCTGCCGGCTACCCTGTCTGTGCAACCTGGAGTCATGGTGAGCTATCACCATAACAGATGTCGTTCATGTGATGGGCCTCAGGGACAGCCTCCTCCTGTAGCTCCTAGCCCTTCTTGGCCAAACCACTGAGCAAATGGTGACGGACTGCTGCCAAGCGTTAGAGGAGCAGTTCATGGGAAAGCAAAGTGCCTTTGTGGTGGCATGCTTGAATTTCAGGGAGAGATTTGTCCTTTATTTATTTTAACCACTGTGTCCATCCAGAGGTCAAGATTTCTTCAAATGTGACTGTTTATAACAAGTATTCGTGCGTCTGCATTTTTTTCTTTAGAAAGTCATATAGTTATGGGGTTTTTTTAAAAAAAAAGTTGATTAAAAACCTTGTTTATTTTCAAACATAAACTTTCTGTGAGTAGCAGGGTTATTTTTATAAGCAGAATCTTTGCCCAAGTGTTTCTAAGCCATTGGCTTCCCACTGCTCATTTGCAGCTGGTAAGAATGTCAGCAGATCCCCCTGGGTGTGTTTCAGTGTGCATTTGCATATTGCTTTTGCAGTCATGAGACTGAGGTACAGGAATTGCCAGAAGTTTGGCTTCTGGGCTTTTACAGCTTTGAATTTTGTTCATACTATCGCTTCCTGCATTTCAACCAAGCCAGCAGAGTTTTATCTGTTCACACCGACAACTTTCAAGGGTACAAAGATCAATTCAAAGCACACCACCACCATCGCCATCACCACCCCTACTTGTTTTTGAGTAAAAACATGATACGCGTTGCTATGCTTTGGGTGACAGTCACCTTGTATGTTGCTGCCTGAGGGGTCGGCTTGGTTCTGTGTGGGGCACAGCTCATCTCAAAAACTGGACTGTCAGAATGTGTGGCATGCCTAGATGAGCAGGGGTGGTGACGATATGCAGGCTTCTGCAGGCTTCTGCTGGACTGGACCCATTAGATTAAGTCTCACCAGTGGCATTTTTTGGTGTGTTTTATTGTCTCCCCCTCACTATTTTTGCATGCTACTGAATCAAGTTGGCTACTGGGAAACCTTGGCTGTTTGTCTGTTTATTGTCTGCACGATGTTCCTCTTCTCCTATGAATCATGCTACATTGGAATAAACAAGGGAGCACATTCAAGCTCTGTTCTGAGTTTATGACAGCTGGGGACCTTGGTCCAACCTTTGTATGTTTCTGTGCTTGCACAGGGAAATGTGCGATGGACCACCATCCTGAGTAGCATGGCATATATGTGTCTTTTACTGGCTTTGGAGCCTGTAGTAACTCAAGTCATGTTCTCCTTTTCTTTTTTTTGTAGCCATCCTTGGCATGCACACCTTGATGAGTAACCAGCAGTACTATGAGGCACTGGGGAGCAGCACCATCGTGAACAAAGAAGGGCTCAACAGTAAGTGATCTGGAGTGTCAGCAGGCTGCAGTGTTTGGCTTTAAAGCTTCTAGCAGAGGCAAAGTGGGAATTATTTTTAGGCTGAAGATTGAAGCTATGAATGTCAGAGCAGCCTGTGATTTCTGGGGCCATCTCTAGTGCATCTTTGCCTTGTGCGAGCCAGCATGGTCTCAGCTGCAGCCCTGGCACTGTTCAGGAGCTAGCACAGCCCAAGGAACAGCCCCACACAGGCAGTGTGCCCTCCATCACCCAGTTTTGGACCCTGAGGGCATGTAGCAGGTGGCGCCAGCTGTCCAGTGCTGGCTGGCCCCAGTGCCGGGCAGCGTTTCTGGATGCACGTGGGCATAGGTGAAGCTGATCAGTGCTTGTTCAGTCTCTCATCTTGCATCTGTTTGTCACTCTCCCAACACTGCTTCTGAAAGCAGAGAAACACATCCAGAGAGAACATGCTGCTCAGGGTGCTTTCAGTTTCACATGTCTTGCTTTTCATTTGCAGGTGTGATTAAGCCCACACAGTACAAACCAGTTCCTGATGAAGAACCAAACTCAACAGATGTGGAGGAGACTCTGAAACTAATACAGAACAATGATCCTGACCTTGAGGAAGTCAACCTTAACAATATTATGGTATTTGTGCCTTTCTGTTGTCCTCTCTTAATCACAGGACCAAACTTTTGATGGACAGAAGGCAGAGACCAAGTCTGTTTGCGCAGAGTAATACCGTAACACTGTGTGTAGCCAGTCAAGAAACACCAGTGCTTCCTATCTCTGTTTTGGCAGCAGGGATTGTTACTTGCTGTGGGACAGTCCTGTGAGGTTGGTAGCAAGAGGACTCCTGTTGGTGTCCAGAAGAGCAGAGCTGTGTTGGAGGTAGTTTGGGAAACCTATCTCCAGCCTGTCTGGTTGAAGACATTCTAGGTTGCTTTAACAGTTCAGTCAAGCATATTTGGTGGAGGGGCTGTTTATGTAAGATAAAATGGTGGGAGGAAAAATGCATCTTAATCCTGACACTTGTCATGAAAATATGAAGAAACCTCTCTTCTTGCAGGTAGCCCTGTCCATCTCCCACCATCCCTTCTGTAGGACTCCTTTAATTTTTGTAGAAAGCAAATCAGGACACAGCACTACTTCTTACGTTGCCTCTGGGACACATACAAATACTAAAAAATACAGTTTCCAGCTGCCTTCTCTGATGTCCTCACATATTCACATAGCAAGAACATGGTTGACTGCACATGCAAATTAAAAAGACTTGTGCCGTGCCACCTTTTTATAACAAAAAGATGTTTACTTTCATGTATTTGATTCTGGCTAGTGAACCTGAATGTCCATTGAGGACACCAGGCTGAGGATCTCGCAGGCAGGCACTTTTTTTGCATGTTGGACTCATGACTCTGGGACAGGGTTTGGAGAACTGGAGAATGGTGGTGGAGATTGTAAGCTGCTGGCCTCTGTGTTATGGCTCTGCGGATGAATTTGACTATAGATGATTCCACATGGTGGGATCCGGATGGCGTGGCAAGAAGTCCAAACTGAGGATACCACTTAAAATTTTAGACAGATGAAAACTTGTGCATCTGACAGGGGTATCTAAAGTGCCTTGATAAGTGAAAAACGTTTTTTTAATAGGAACTCAGAATAAACAGCACAGATTTATATTACCCAGAAAATAAATCTCGGTTGAGACCTAGCATCCTAAATGTTAGCCTGAAAGATGTTGTGTAAAGCAGTCAGAGGTGTCTGTGGAGATTGTTTCATGTATTTCTGGGTCAGGCCCATAGATCGAAATTTTCGTAGATCAAATGTTGCTCAGTGCTGTAATTCATATTAAAATGCGCAGGAGCAGTGCTTGGTAGGCTCATGGATCCTGGTTACATACATCCCCACAACGCTTGCATTTGTAAGTAGCTGTGTTTCTGGTCAGTTAAACAGGAGAAGCATTGTAGCTTCATATCAAGGCAGTGAGCTGTCAGCGGGGTGGGAAATAGGATGAAGACATTGCCATGCTCCTTAGACTGTGCTGATTATAGAAGAGAACTTGGAAGAACGTTTATCAACCCCTTCCTAAATTACTTCAATGCATTTGGTGATATGACCTTGATAAATTTAAAGTATTGTTTAAATGTATTGCATGTTCCTTCATACGGATGATGGCCTAACACAGATTTTCTGCATTTCTGTTCACAGAATATTCCCATACCAACTTTAAAAGCTTTTGCAGAAGCGCTGAAAAATAACACCTATGTGAAGAAGTTCAGTATAGTTGGGACACGGAGCAACGATCCTGTTGCTTTTGTAAGTACTGTCAGCTCACTGTCATAAAGTTGTGACAGGAGCTGTTCTGGGGCAAGGTATTTTGCAGAGTTACTGACTGACTGCTTTTGCACCTTACATCAGTTTTGGCACCTTCTGCACCTCTGGCATTTGGTGCAGGTGCTTCAGTTTCAGGGGTGCTAGTGAAAGCCAGTGACAGACATGCTTTGGTCCCTTTGCTTCCCTTTGCAGCTGTGAAGATTTCAGTACACAATCCTTTAATCCCATTCAGTCTCATATTTGTCCTCAGGGATCTCCTGGAAAAGGAGCAGGGGACAGGAACTGATTTCTTAGTGGTATTTTGCATAAGCAGTTTGTCTGTTTCAATTTATCTTACATCAGGGCCACACCATTTGTTGCTCTTGGTACAAAGCCATACAGTGCTGTGTGTGTACCTGTACCTCTCCTCACACATGTCTGCCCTGGCTCTTTCATACATTCTTTTGTGCAGAGCTGTGCAGAAGCAGGACTCTGCATTTCTAGTGTGTGGCCTGTATGGGTGATAAAGGGTCGTTCTGCTGCTGCAAGTGGTCTTAAGTATCACTGGAGATGTAGAGAGGTGCTGAGCCTTCTCCTTGGTCCTTGTGCTACCTTCCAGGCTGTATCCTTGAACACTCTTATAGCACCATTGCATCCAACTTTCACCCTTCTTCACCCAGGCCACCTCTAACTCCACACACACATGTGCATACCAGTTTCCTGTTAGAAAAAATACTCTTTTTGGAGAGTGAGTACAGCTCTTGCATTATTTCAGGCACTCTGGACTGGGGAAGAAGCCTGTGCAGGCATCACTGGTGCTGTTTGACGGCCCATGGGGCACTGTGCAGGGTTCAGGGAGCTGTGGAGCCAAGTGCTGTGTGAGTGGATGCAGGTCAGCCCTGCGACTTGGACATCACCTTTTGGTCCTTCTGTTTTGTGATGTAGACAGGTTCTTCCATGCAGCTTGTGAAATGACACCATCAGATCAGGTCAGGGTCGGGGGTGGGGAGTATGCCAGTCCACTTCTGGTCTTATTGCTGAGGAAGGCAAAAGTGATTAATATGGTTGTCATGCCACTTGAGAAGACATCCTGAACATGGAGAATCCCCTGTTGCTCAAGACAGACACTCCTCTCTGCTGGCTGGGATGGGAAGCGTCTCAGCCCCATGCAGAAGAAACAGTGCAGGCAGGGAGCTGATCAGGCAGGAGGCAGGGCTGATGCAGGCCAGCATCCCTGCCGTCGCCATGCTGGCTTTAGAAGAGGGACAGATGAAGCTGTCACTGGGCAACTGCAGGTGTGGACTGTCACCTTTTGGGGTGGCTCTAAGGGTTTGTCTGTATGAGATTTTTCTGTGGCCTCTAGCATGCTCACATTCAAGAATCCCTCTGTGACATGGGGAAAACCCCTTCGCACTTCACAGAGCTCTCCCATCTGGTGGCAGTGAAACCAGTCGGCACATGGGGTCCTCCCAGTGTGCTCAGGAGGTGAGGGGAGTGGAACGAACTCCTGCTGCTCTGGGGTGCTCTACCCCTGCCTGTCTGACTGCCACCTCTTCCCACCCACCTTTGCCTGCAGGCACTGGCAGAAATGCTGAAGGTCAATAACACGCTGAAGAGCCTGAATGTGGAATCAAACTTCATTTCTGGGTCAGGGATCCTGGCTGTCGTTGAAGCACTCCAGGGCAACACGTCGCTTGTAGAGCTGCGCATCGACAACCAGGTAAAGTGTGCAAAAGCAGGAACTCTGATCATGTCCTGGCTGTGGGAAACTGAGTGGCTGGTCAAGGTGGAGGGTGGCTGCCTGCCACCACTGAGGAGTTGTTTTGGAGAGGTTTCAGCCCCTTGTTTCTGCTACATTTCCTAGGCAGTATCTGCTACTATCTACAGTAATTAACAAAGGCTGTGGCAGTGCAATCAGCTTACTGTGTTCCTAGTGCTGCCCTGGAGAGCAGTGTTGCACCTGTCCAGTATCACACCTTGCTCCAAGCTCTTGCAGGGACTTAAATAATTATGTCTAGTAAAACTGAAATTTCCACTGCAATGCAAAGGAAATAGAAGGAGGGCTCCAGAGTGTGTGATGGTACAGATGCTGTGGCAAGTCTAGCTCCCCCGGAAATCCAAGCGGTAGTACTGGTGAAGCAGCTGAGCTATGGGAAGCTCAGGGACAGGTGATGGAGTTCAAAATCATGGTTTATCCAGATGCCTCTTAGCTGCAAATCTGTCCAAGAAGTAGAGCCTTTGGCAATAGGACTTGTGGGAATGCCTGCTGGAGGAATTGGAGGTACACTTGTTTGTACCAGGACAGACCCGTTGTTTGTTTCACCAGCTCCAAGTCAGAAATGCCAAATGGACCAACAGGTCCAAAGAAGGCAAGGGGTGGAGATGACAGATCTAAGTGCTCACTCTGAATCATTCTCTGACCTGACCAGCTTGCTTTTCTGTTTTCAAGAGCCAGCCCTTGGGCAACAATGTTGAAATGGAAATTGCAAACATGTTGGAAAAAAACACCTCCTTGCTGAAGTTTGGGTACCATTTCACTCAGCAAGGTCCCCGACTTCGTGCCTCCAATGCCATGATGAACAACAATGACCTAGGTGAGTCAGGCTGGCTGCAAGCCAGGGAGCATGGGAGGATTCTGTGGGCAATTCCTGGTGGGAAAAGGGCAGAACTCCTCACTTGAAGGCTCTGGTGGATGTGCTTAAGTTAGAAAGCACCTTTTGACAGGCCTGATAGTGCCTTGCCCCTTGAGGAAGAAAGCAGCCTTCACTGACTGGTTCCCTAATACAGCTGCTGTCAGCTAGGCAGTGGGTTGTGCTCCAGACCTGAAGACACTGGGCAGCTAAAACTCCCAGAAGAGGCAGCGTTTTTGGCAAACTGGGTCTTCTTGGAAGGAGTGAGAGCTGCTAACGTACTTCACTACGGCGCATGATACAGCATATGGCACATGGGTTGTGAGCTGCCAGCACTTGTGATTCCTGCCAACTGCTTGTCTTCCTCCAGTTTCATTCCCACTTTAACAGAGATGAAAAGTAGTAGAGTTGAACTTTGGTGGCAGTGGGATTTGGCCCATCCCCTTCAGCAAAACAAATTTGAATTGTTTCTAGGGAGAGGTGGGAAGCAACGTGGCTTTGAATTATCTTTATACTCTCAATGAATTGATCAGAAGTGCTTGTGAAGCAAAATGTAGGCAAGTCTGCCAACTGCTGTTTCAGCTGATGCATACAGCAGAGGCTTCCCATTGTTTGACTGCAAGCTGCTACAGAGGACTGGAAATCAGTCCAGCAGAGCAGTATCAAATACAGCCAACATACTGGCCACACTGTACTCAACAGCTCCTAACTGCATAGGCAGGATGGTTACAAACATGGCAGCGCCAAACTCCCCAGCAGCAGCAGACAATATATCTGGGAGGTATAAGCAAAATTTTGCGGATTGTCCATTAAGAAGAACCCGTTCCCTGAGAGGGTGGAGGTTTGCAAGACTCAGAGGGACAGAGCCAGTGGCTGCCCTGACACAGGGCTAGGCAGAGCCCTGCTGTGAGTAGGAGTTGGGCTGGAAGCTCCCAGGGATCCACCACCACCACTAGGGCTGCTGAGCTCTACCAGACACATCTAGAAAGCACAAGGGCTAACAGACAGGGTCTGAAAAAAAAACCCTAATATATAAAGCCAGCCGTGAAGAAATGGCGAAAAACTGGAACTGTAAACTTAATTCTGCATAGGATTCACCACAACAGGGTTTTCTATCCCTTTGTGACTCAACTTCAGATTTAAAAGTCACAGAAAACTAGCCTTAATTGGCATATTTAGACAGAGGATAAATATGTTTTGTTTTCAAAATAAAAATATAAAAAGACAAATCAAATCTTGCTCCAGCCAGATTTGCTCCTAGGAAGCACAGCCAAGCATATATGTGCCAGCTCTTCAGTGACCACACAGAATACTCAGTATTACAGTTCACTGCGTATTTATTATGCCTGTGGCTGCATTCCTGGTCACCAGAGAGCTGCACCAGGAAAGGCTTGCTATTTTCTGTCCTTTGGAACAGAGCAAGGGTTTTAATGACCATGCAGCACCTGGCATAGAAAGTAATCAGGTGGAAGATTTGGATCTAGTATTTTAATTGTTCCTACTCTAAGGGCAGGCATTCACAACTTGCCTTCCATGTAACAGTTGTGTATTTTTGCCTCTTTGACCACTAAGGTCAGCATTCTTGTCTGATTTGGTTCTTGTTTGCAGCTCGTATTCATCGGTGTGATGGTTTCTGGCAATAGCGTCTCAGCTCCACACCTGGACAATGTATAAGTATAGAAAAACTTTATTTTCCTCCCTGTCAGCAAATGGCTCTCTGCTTGTGCTCTACCATCACCTGATTCTACCAGAACTTTGTTTTGGTACTATAGCTTCTTTTCTCTAAGATGCCCTATATGAACCAACCATGAAGGCTTTTACATTCATCTTCATGAGCTAACTTCTGCATTTTCTTTCTGCTTTTCTTTCCCTTTTTTCCTCACACACGTTTCTTGAAGTCATGAGTGTAGCTGTCAGAACTGTTAAGAATAGATGTGAAACTGCTTTGACCATATTAACTGTGATCAGAGCACTGGATGCTAAAGGCTTAAGATAAGAAATGAGATAATTTTTGTTTGTTTGTTTGAAGAGGCTATTTATTAAAACTAGCAAAAGAAAAACTGTGGCACCCATCTCCTGCTCTCTCTACATCAGTCAGCATCAGGTGATGCTTTGGCCAAAGTCAGATTACAGAGACAAATCATGTGAAATATAATTGTCTGTAGAGTATGGGAGGTAAAAATTCATAGGGACAGAAACCTCATCTTACCGCCCCTTGATTTTAAACTGCATAAGGCTGTGCCTGCTGCTTAAAGCAGGAATTCAGAAGCTGATGCTATCCTGTTTCTTTCCTGGCAGAAAATATGTCTCTCAGCTCCTTTCCACAGCGGGTAAGCCAAGCCTGCCATCCACATCTCTTTTGCCGTGACTGACTCCTCTTCCTCTTCTTTTTCAGTGAGGAAGAGAAGACTTGCAGAGTTGAATGGGCCTATTTTTCCCAAGTGCAGAACTGGAGTGTAGTTCCTGCTATGGCGGTCATTCCCGGTGATCTGTGCTACACTGTGGAAATGTAAAGGCAATAAGTGCCTTGACAGAGTATTTGTGGTGCCTCGGTTGTTTTATGCACTAACAGTTTATATTAACTAGTGGCTGTAGTTGAAGATTTTATCCTGTAGGACTGTTATGTTTTCTGTAGAGTTGGAAACTATTCAAGCCAGTAACAACCTGCCAATTTTATGCAATCTCAGTTTAGAGTACATCCCAGTGTAAAAGTGACTCATAATTAACCTGGGACCTAATTTTTCTATAAACTTCCTGCACGGTGTTTCATACAGCTAGGATGTGGTATGCATGAGTGAAAGATAAAACTATTCCACACAAATTATAGAAGTATTAAAAAAAATACTTTATTTTTTTTTCCAAAATGTTCTCAACTATAGAGGAACTAGTTTAATAAGCACTTCAACTACCCAGAAACATGGCTGATTTCAAGAATTGTTGAATTACAATTTTTACCAACATTTGCTGAGTCAGTTGAAGATGATGTTTCAAATGTATCCCTGTTTCTTTGAAAAAATTGAACTCTATCCCCTGGTTAAATGGAACTTAAAAGGCCACCAATTATAAAACAGTCTCAAAAACTGAGTGGTTTAAGATGGGCTGATATCTTTCTGTCCTGTGCATGTCTGAAGAAAATTGTCACCTTCAGAGATGCAATGCAAATCCTAACCCCACAGAGATAGCCAAACTGATTGGCAAACCAGAGCCCTCTCTTTCTGATCCCCACTCCCTTCAGTCTCCTGATGTTAAAAGCATGTGTCCAGTTATTCACTGGAAACAAGCCAGATTCTCCACTGTTTTGTCTAGATGACCATTTCCATTATTTAAATTTCATGCTGCTAGGGATTGTTTCTTTTACTGCCATCTCTAATGTCTGCATAGATGCAACAACAAATGCTGTGCCCTAGAAAACCTGTTAAGTGAAACACCCCAACTCTGAACTTATACTGTGTATTGTCTGACAGGTTTTTGTCAGTCTACTACCCATCCTCTAGTCTGGGAGGAATTCCCCACAGGCTTGCGTAGCTCCCAGACATGCAGTGGGTTGGACCCAGCATTATCCCATCCAAAACTCCTGCTATTAACGTGGGTGGGATCCTGCTCAGTAGGCAGTCTCCTGGCAGAAGCATTGCCACACTGAAGCTTTACTCTTGGTCTGACGATGGCATGTCCTAGAAAATGTTCTCAATTTCTAGAAATCTGCCTGTACACATCTGTTAAGAGTGAAGTTTTGCAGCCTTTTACACATATACCAGCAGAAGTCCCACAAATTTCTTAAGAGCTTGTGTGCAAATACCACCCACAATTTAGCTCTGGCCAATAAAGCAGAGAAACTCTATACTTTCAGCAATGTGGGAAACTGTTCTCTTCAAGTCTTAATGCACCAGTGGTGTCAAATAAAATGCTTCACTATAGTTTCTTCACCCAACCCTGCAAGTTTCATATCAAAATATGAAAAGAATACAGAAGAAAAATACTTGAAAACATATTAAAAAAAACCCAAAACTGGCAGATAGCCTCTTTCTTCCATATGCACTGCAAAGACTTCAAAACAGTCAACTAAATCATCAGACCAAAGCCACAGAATTTCAGCTGAGCCATCCACTCAGATTTGCATGGTACAGGCTCAGCTCTTATATTGACTTCAGAAATGTAAATTAATCTTACCCTGGGAAATCCTGATGGCACTAAGAAACTCAGACATGGAAGGAGATGCAGCTGCAGAGCAGGGCATGCCACCACTACAACAGCATTTTTTTCTGAATGAAAAAAAAATCCCTTAAAAAATTAAAAAAACAAAAGCAAGAACCTGTCCTGTTTCATTGCAGCAGCATCCAAATTACCCATGCAGCCCAAACACACATTAAGATGGCAGGATCACTCCCAGTTCCTCAGCTGATCCTTACAGAGCTGCTTTGCTGAAAGATGCATATGAGCACTGAGAGCTGTGCAGCAGAGACCAGGCTGTGCTGAGAAGCATTAGGCTTTGTGGTGAAAGGCATCAAGCTGTGCAGTGATGGAGCTACAAAACAGTGATATTTAGGAGCAAAGGGATCACTGTTTGTCCCAGCAGTTCTTCAGGAAAAAGCAGAAGCCATCTACTGACTGCAGCATCTGTCAGTCACAGCCAGTCCTGCTTAACTCACCTCTCCTGGATTTAATGTGCCTTCTCTCAGGCATTACCACTGAGGTGCCTGCATCCCAGCACACCGCATTTCACATGGCAAGTCCTTATTTGTATTAATCTGACAAAACTAATCCAGCATCCAGGAAAGCTGCTGCTGAGCTCACCTGCAAGAGGGAGGCCAAGGATGCCTGTTACCCCCCTCCCCTCTCTGCAGCAGAGGAAATGTGGCTTTATAGGCCTCCATCTGTACATCTCAAGCCCTTCTCCTCCCTTGCCTTAATGCAGCAAGGACCAGAAGAGGCCCCATGGCTCCCCTCTGCCTTTGAGGTAGAATCTCCAGCTGCCAGTTCTCAGGGGAATTGTACCTTGTAGCCAGGTCTACCACATGGCAGACAGCTTAGCTAGGTTTCAGCATTTACCTCTGCAGAATTAAGCACCTCCAATGTAATGGGTTAAGTGTATTTGTGCAGTACTTTAAAAATTATGATGGAAGCACTAAAGGTTATAGATCATCACAGGAATTTCAGAAGTTTACATATAAAATAGTTGTTGCCATTCTGTACTGATACATGATACAGAAACAGCCTTCTAAACAGATTACAGCATTACAGACTTGCTGATAGACATAATTATAAAATTGTATTATTTTAGCCTAATACATGAAGAAAAGAGAGTATAACATACAAGCTGAAGTACTTGAATCAGTGCTCTATACCAGGCCTGCAAGTAGAGCTTTGCATGTTTTTCCACAAATGTTCCAGTCCTCAACAGCACAGAGGTTAACTGGCCAGCAGAACTTGGGAGGCAGATGCCAGGGGACCATGGGTACTGCCTTAGACTTCTGCTGAAGATGTCTCCTAACAGAAATTTTCCAATTTCTTCTCCAGTATGGATTATGCACAGATTTGCTATTAAATACTATCCTAGAAAGATTCTCAAAGGAGATGTTCATAATTTTCAAGGTTTTGCTTCATAAAAGGAACAGTCACAAAACCAGTTGCTGAACCGTTTGTTTCATGGTAGCAATACTGGAAGTAAGAAATGCTTGCCATGGCTTTAATGAAAGCAATACCCATGTCTTTTAAGTTCTAGTCAAGCCAACGAGGCCTTGCTGACTTCATAGCACTGTGGAAGTTACAATCTATATGAAAATAACATTGGCCTAATTGTCATTAAGCAACTGCAGAAACCTGAGTAAACTGTTTTCTTGCTTTTAAAAGCAGTTGCCAGTAAAAAACCCCAACAAACCAGTGAGTGTTGTGGTTTAAGCCCAGCTAGCAGCCACTCACTCACCCACCCCTACCCCAGAGGGTCAGTGATTTTGATTTCCTATTGACTTTACTATTCAGTACCAAGAATGACAGTAAGTTTCAAAGACATTTTCCAGTCAAGACACATCTTATACACTATGAATAAAACCTTTCTGTACATTCTACAGCATCAGGCACACAAAGCAGCAAGTGGAGACGTGTCTTGAGATCGTATGCTATAAATCGTTTCAAAGACCATTTCTCCACTAATAGGAGCTAGAAATCACATAAACATCACACATCTTTTGAAAACCTCAACCCATGTTTACAAAGCACAAACACTCCCTAAATCTTGAATTATTTAACTTGGATAAAGGATCTTGCATCTCCTTATGGCTATTGCTGACATTTATGCACATATGTCAGCTTCACTTCCGGTGCCATAATGCTGGTATTTTAGACAGTCTGTGCTCCCCTCTCTGTGTGTCTCAGTTTCAGCATGCTCCAAACTGCTGGATTTTTCCTAGTGCAAACAGAGTGCAGCCCTGGATATTTCATGGGCAAGTTGAGGGAAATAGTTCCCAGGGAGACAGAGCACTGGAATGAGGATTACTTTTCCTGTTCATCCTACAGGTCATGCACAAGTATGGCTGGGCAGACACTATCTGTGGGCTTTTGCCCCACTTAGAAGAGGACTCCTTATGCTGCCTTCAGCCAGTTGTACACAAGTTAAGCCAGTGATATCAGTTAACTACCCCTTGCTTCTCACTGGTATAAAGCAAGACACACATGCAGATCACGTGTACATGGAAGATACCTTTGACTAATCCAGTCGCATACCCACACCCAACTCATACATCTGTTATCACACCCTAGCACTAGTTGTTGAAGCAAATGCATGATCAGTGGAGAGGTTAGACAGATCCATCTCCATACAGGAGGAAGAGAATGGTATTGTTCTTATGTCCCTTCAGTTTCTTTTGAATTGTGAGCAGCTGTGTCCCACAGCACAGAATCTGCTCCAAAATCCCCATGGTAGAGGCCATGCTACAAGACTGTACCCAGAGAGAGGAATCCTGTAGTGCTGGTGATGGGTTGGGCACTCTGGTAATTTACGGTCAAGTAATGGATGGTTTTCAGGGCATACTCTAGGCTTAAAGGCAGTGTATGAACAAAACTTTCCAAGCCAACACATTTTCACGATTTCCAAACCTAGCTGAATAAAAGAGAAGGATCTGATTACAGAAGCCATTCACATTAGGACATGTCAGATTAGCTAACAAAACAGCTTAATCTTTTCCTGCATCCAGTGTCCTTTGTGAGACATGTTCAATAGGTACCCTTGGCCGTCTCCATGTACATTCACATTCTTCCTTAAGTGTCTGTCCTGAAGCCCTTGAAGTCACCTTAAGCTCTTTCTCTTGACAAACATGACAGCAAGCTGTAAGACCTTTGTTGCGACAACTTGGGCACGTCAGGACAAGCTGCTGGCAGTGCTGGCTGGAACAGAGTTTATACTGGTCCCACAGTGTCCCACAGTATCTGCATGCTGGAGGGAGGAGGAAAAGAAAAAGTTAACACCCACATTTCCCCATCTGTCCCCCTTGCAGAGGGTTCTCTGTGGCACCATGGGACTGCAGTCTTTCATTTAAGTTGCTATCTATTGTCATCCAGGTTTTTAATTCTGCTTTAAATGAATCCTTTAGAACCTAGTTAATTTTTAAACTTCTGATTTCGATGTAAAAAACTTAGGACAGCTGTCCCTCAGGAAAAGTGCTCTCTAGCGCTTCCTCTCAAACTGATTAGACAGATTTAAAGATTCTTGTTGTCAAGAGGAGAAGATATGCTGGTGGTAATTAAGCCAGTACGAAGGAACGTTTCCTGATGGGGAGGGGGGAGCCATGGGACTTCCTTCCACCTAAAAGCAATGGCCTGTGCAGATGGCGTGTTATCTGCAGTCCTGGCAGAGTCCTTCTACATCAGACAGGTTTTAACCCTTTAACTGAAAGCTACAGCACAGTTTAGCCATACCATCAAGAAGGTGCCTACCCCAACACTTCCCCTTGAAACTTCTGCAGGGATGGCTATGATGTATCCAGAATGTGTTCTGTTTCTATACCAAGCCAGGTACCTTCAAGATGTACATCGTAATTGCAGAGGAGGAATGGAAGGTGATGCTGAAAAAAGTTACCCACTCAGATAAAACAGCGCTGCCTCCTAAAAGAGGCTAGAGCCAAATTCCACGTATTTTTACCTGGCTATTGAGAAGAAAACATGTATTTCATTTGCAATATCTGAAGAGCGACCCCAGACAGAAGACCAGCCAATGTTCTCAATAACTTCAACTAGAAGTCACTGAAATTCTACAGGCTACAGAAGCTTTTAAAGCATGAAAATAAAGTGCTGTAGAGCTTAGTGCCACCACTCTCCCAAGTGCCTGGCAGTCTGTGCTGATGTTCTGTGAGATCACTGGAGCAGAGAACAGCTGACAGCAGGAGAACTATTTAACACGTTGGTCACTTGGCCAACCTCAGCCTGATCAGCACTGTGGGCAACAAGTGGGTAACAGCAGTAGTGCCTGACATACACCTCCACAGCAGCTGTTCTGCAGCGGATGCTTCCTTTTATTGCTCCAGTCTTAGGGAACTGTTTAGTGACCCTCTCTCACTTCTGTTTTATGTGTTAAACCATTGAGTTGATAATCATCATGAAAAGTGACAGCACTAAAAGATCAAAGCAAGTATGAGGAAGAACTACACAGGGCAGTCTGGCTGCCCCTATCCTGCACATCTCTGGAAAATAGCTTCCCAGCCTTCTGCACTTACATTAGGTAGTCCTACCTGAGATTATATCTTCATTGGAACAAATGGCGTAACGATCATCAAATACAAACAGCTTTCCTCTGTAGAATCCATCTGGAAACTCTTCCAGGTACTTGTGAATTCCACCTTTTAGCTGGTAAACCTCTCTGCACACTGCCTGTTTAAAGCATATTAGCATAAAAACTGAACAAAATGGCAGCAGTGGTGGCATGTCAGAGTTCCCAAAGCAAATGTTGTAAATGCCAGGGGTCAATAAAAAGCAGCAGCTTCTCAGTGACCATCAGATGGCACCATGTGCACCCACAGCTCTAGGCAGTGCCACCAGGGATTACTGGGCACCTTCACAATGCTGGCTTGTTGACATGATCCCAAATGTACATTTAATGTCACAGTTAGAAAACAGCTGGTAACCTCAGCTGAGGGAGGTTTGCTGCATCACAGAGCAAATGCTGTTGAATCTCTGTGAACCACTGCTTATTCTGTTTTTATGTAATAAGCTGTTAGCAGGAGAATTTTTCAGGGTTCACATTGGTGCAGCAGAGAGAAAGCATCAAGGTTTAAATCTCTGAAGTACATACATATGTGTCATTCCCTTGCTCCTTGAGGGAAGAATCAAGGAGAAGAGTGGGATGGAAAGCACAACTAGAACAACGCAGTTTGCTAGATTTAATTCCACAACACTGGGGAAAGCTCTGACTGGCGGATTTTCACCAATCCAAGATGCTCAAGCTGTGCAGTAATGACCACAGATCATAACCTAGGCAGAGCTTGTGGAAACACTGCAGCATGCTCTCAAGCCCTCCTAAAACAATGGGCAGGGCAGACTTCTCAGCAAATGGGTTACATACTTATTTTCACAGAGCAATCACCGGTGTGACACTAGTCTATGCAGATCATTCTGAGCCGCATTAAACTACCCATGTCTTTGAGAGACAGCATGAGGCAAGTGTGCGTCAGAGACATTTATCTCCCCACCTGCTCACTGAGCAGTATGTGCTCAGTAAGAATTTACCAGCAAAAGACAAGACAGCTGCCCCTGAAGAAGTCTCAACTCCTTGACACTTGTGCCCGCAGAATGACATCTCACCTTGCTCCGCAGGTAAGCAGAGCCTCTTTCACAACGAATCCCTCCTGTGCAGTACATCAGGACACGTTTGTCTTTAAAAAGCTCCAGGTTTTCATCTATGTAGCTGGGAAAATAGCTGAACTTCCTGATATCTGGAGCCAGACAGCCCTGGAAATGTCCCTGCAATAACAACAGATGGCCGTGTGACTGGTTACAAGCAGTGTTACATGGTAAAGTCTGTGCCTTGAACTGGAGGAAGTAACAAACCTTTGGGCCAGAACACTCAGCTCACTGCAGCTGCTTTAGGCAGGTCATCAGCTGCATTTATACATCAAAATACCTGTTAAAATCTGTAACAGGATTCTGGATACAGCATATCTTCTCATCCAAACATAAAAGAGGGAGTTAAGCAGAACAGAACTGCCAGAGAGAGGAGGACAAGCCATAGCAGTGCAGGAGAGCTGGTGGTGTGACAGCAGGATGCCTCTTTATGACATATGGGACAGTGCAAAAATGCTGAAATCCTTACAAATTACACTACTTTTACTTCATGGTAATGATATGGTATGGTATTTACTGCTAATGTTGTATGGACCACTTTGTCTTCCTGCCCCAAGCTGTATAAGAACTTAGCCAGGCAGGCTCCATGCTGAGTCACTGAGCAGGTCCTCTGCTGTTTGCGCCTAATATTCATTACTAAATTGAACTCTGTACATATTACGGTGAATCTGGAACATGGAATCTCTTCTTCCGTAAAGGTTACACCCTCACAATGTGAAATACTTCCCCTGAGCACCTGTAATACACTGCAAGAAGCAGGCAAACAACACTTACTATTTTACTTTCATAGAAGTTCCTACAGTCCAGCAAGATGGTATCGCTTTGTCCTTGACTGGCTTGAGACAAATACTGTTCTACTTCTCTATGAAATTCCTGAGGGGATAAATGGATACCTTTAACCAAAAGAAAAAAAAAAAAAAAAGGAAAAAAAAGTAAGAGAAAGAAGTGAGAAGCAAAACTATAAAACATTCTTACATATGATCTCACTGATCCAGATTCTCCTCAGATTTCCAAACAAAAATTTTTTGTGACAGTTCACAGACTTCATCCCAATTCAACCAGTCGTGTTTATCCATGTTTGGCCTCCTATTGGCAAATGAAAGAAAACATAACACTGTTCCACATGACAGAAGTAGCAGCAGACAGGCGCCTGTCTCTATGATCTTTGTTACGTCCCCCTGGCAACTCTTACAGTTGTAAAAGAAAGAGTGAAAAATGTTTCCCCTCCCTTTGATCATCTTTCATTACATTTAGACACACAAAAGCATACAGAAATGCAACTTTTCAATTAAACTCTTCTTTGTTGATAAAAATGGAAAATTCCCATAAGCATGTATTACTTTTACTACAACTTCTACTTACATAAAGTTTCTCAGCTTTCACATTGCTTGGGACTTAGGAGTCCAAACCTACTGAAAAACAAAAAAACCTCATGCACCAAAATCCCTCACTTGATTAAAAAATAACCCTACAAGCAGCCTGCCAGAGTAATGTGAACCATCTCCATAAACTGCTGTAAAATAGGACAAAAAAGGGAAAAAAAAGGGAAAAATATCCAAATGTACATCCCCAAAACTGCCAAGAAATGGGGGAAAAAATAATCCTCTACCAAAACTACAAAAAGATGCTGTAGAAATTTAACACCACCAAAAACTCTTGGTGGAAAAAAAGAGACCCGAACTGCTCTGTTAACGGCTGTTCTCTGTGCTCCTGCTTACCACCTACCTGAGTGTCCTCATAGCAGATGCACAGCCAGTAACATCTTATCAGGCATAATCCATACTAAGCAGCTACAGGTTACAGTAAACAAATGCAGCCTGTGTTAGGGGAGTGGCATGAACCTGATGCAGAACTTGTCTCTGCTTTAGTGTAAAAGGCAGGAGCATGGCTCTTAACTTCAATACAAGTAAAGGCAAGTCAGCAGTCCCTACGATAGGAACATGTACATACTCAACTGTAATTCTAGCATTTTCTAAAAAAAAAAAAACAAAAAAAAAAACCTCTCAGAAGCACCAGAATCCGCTGGATCCATAAGAAGACTCCATGCAAAGCTGCTCTTCCTATACAGCTTGGTTCTTACCACAAGCTAACCACAAAGAGAGAGCATTGGAGCTCTTTATACGGTGTAATTTCTGAGCAGCCTCAAGCACATACAGAGTATTTAAAACAAACACACATATATTCATGCATTGAAATGTCTTTCCTAATCATCATACATAGTTTCACCCTACATCTGCCTTTAGCAGGTATCTAATGACTTACTCCCTGACTAAATCACAAGGTATGTCCCTACCCCAAAACAAGGTATGTGCTTGATGTCATTTGAATTATTACTGTTTCCCACAAAACAGAAAGTTGATTTTACAGTTTTCTGAGGCAGCTAAACACTTAGCAAACCAAAGCCTGGGCCAGCAATTTTTCTGCACCCATAACTTTTGACTACCATCAAGAAATCCATTTCTATATCTACTTCATCTGTGTCCCGGCCACTGTGAAGAAGGAAATGCTTTTGATGAAAGTACTTTATTCTTCACTCACCTCTCACTTGAGTGAGAGACCGTATTTCTCATTAAATCAACTTACCAGTTTCTTTGTAAGACACTATCTTTGGATCAATGCCCATAGGTACAATTTCTTTGAATACTCCAACTCGAAGGTCTGGGAAACAGTGAGCTCCTCCTGCACTGCTCTAGGAAATTAAACACAAAAACAACCCACCAAAATTTACCAGGTGTCAAGATTAAATTACCCACTCACTTTAATTTCTACAACTCACTAGAATGTGAAGGTGTCTCGGTGGCTGAGGGAAAGAAGTCTGTCCCACTGAAATCCACATTCTAAATCTTGAGGTTTAGGCAGTGGACCCCTACCATGACTTAGCAGAGAGGTGTCTTAGGCCCAAGGACTACTCTGCCACTGAGACAGGCACCATTTGGCATGAAGTGTGGAGTCACTGAGTAGTGTGAAGGAGAATAGATCTTAGTCAGAAACAATGTCACTAGCACCTATCATAAGAAAGTCAAGGCCCCTACAGAGCATGCTGACTCTGACAGGAATATTAAATAACCTCCTCCAGTAACAGATCATGTTGACACATCTGGGCCCTGCAGCTCTCTTCAGCCCCTCTGATGCCCGACACAAGCACCACTAGGCTTCCAGTCATGACATGTGGGATGGGAACTGCAGTGGTTCATGGGTGTGAAAGAGACATATGGGAGGTCAGCCAGGCTCAAGATTTGTTAACAGCTGAGTCTGACACCCCCCACCCCACTAAACTCAAGCACAAGATCTCCCCTTTGGAGACACGCCCACTGTAGGCAACAGGAAGTGAGAATTTCTGCAGGGCTGAGCCTCAGTCATGGCTTAAGCACTATCAAGATATAAACACTCAAACAGAAGTGCAGTGCTATGCAACACTGTCACAGCTATCACGAAAAACAGTGTGCAGCAACTACAGTGGCCACTGAATATTTCATAGTCTCAGGTGCAATTTTCATTCATGAATGTTGATGCCCAGAGAGATCATGCAGGGTTGGAGGTTTTGCCAAGGTCAATGTAAAATTCCATCCCTGTTCTGGTTCTGAATCTACACATGACTGTAACAGGTCACATTTACTCTTGAAATTCAGCCAAGCACAGCAGACATTAGAAAGAACCAGCACTGCAGCTCTACATGGGATCTGAGTTTCACAAGTTTTATTAACTCCTTTGACTTAACTATTTATGGGGGAAAAAAAAAAAAAGTATTCCCTGCAAATAAAACTTTGTGGAAAAGAAAAATTCTATAAAAGCATCAGCTTTCCTTTCTCACAGAGAAACCAGTACCTACAATGCTGAGGCAGCAAAAGCCTACCAGAATCCCATATGGTGCCAGCCACAGCTGCCATCACCATGTGAAGACAGCAATCAGCTCATATGCTCAGGCTCAAGCAGAAGTTAGCACCTCTCCCCTTCTAGTCAGGCACTTACTGGAGTAGGGAGAAACCTCTTGACTCTGCCTGTGTATTTTCTCTAGAAGACATCCAGTTCATGGAACTGACAATGCACCTATATGGACCCCAAAGCCAGCATGAGCCTAACCAGTAGGCTTCAAGGCAAGGATCTCAAATCAGGGTGAAGAGGAGAGTGTGGGAATAGTTTGCTTGGGTAAGTGTATGTTGTGATGCCTTGGTTTTGGCAGTCAAGTTGGAGTAAATGCTTGTTGAAGAATGGTGGGGGTTGAAGCACACTTCCTCATTTATCTGTGCAGGGGGCTTTGCAGCAGCATCCATAGCTGCCATAGCTTGTAGTAGCTGCTATCACTGCTTGTGATAACTGCCACTGCTGGTGAAAACCAGCAGACAGCTCAACAAAGAAAGGTTAGGAACTTTTGGCTTAGGTCAGTGCTGGGAGAGTGGAACTGCTAGAGCAGAGGTAATACTACCAAGAAGCAACGTGCTTAATTCTCAAAAATTAAATGTGCTGCATTAACAATGTACATATAGAAATTATATTTTCATACCTTGAAATCCTCTTGACACAAAATATCTTTGAACAGAGGCTGGGAAAGCATAACTTCAATGTAGAGATTGGTAGCTACTTTGCTTCCACCAACTGTCCCATTAATCCCTTCTGAAGCAACTCGTACCTAAAAGGCAAGAGGAGAAGCTGGGGCTAAGGCTTAGTAACAGCAAAAGCAGATCACAGTAAAAACAGCAAAATATGACTGGGTGACAGAAGGCAGACACAGAAGTATGTTCAGAAAAGAGACTACTAGGGAAGGAAGGAGGCAAGGGGGCAAAACATGGCTATACTGAAGTTGAACATAAACAAGACAATAAATAAAATAGGAATAAAACCCGAGTAATCACTTTTGAGCCATTTCAAAAGACTGACACCAAGACAATCAGAAAAGTTTGTGCAAGAAACAGAGAAATGCTAACTGCTTAACTGGCAAATCATGCAGTCACATTAAAATTCTCACTGGAAGTCTGCCTCAGGAATAACAATGAGATTGTGCCCAATGACTCACAATAAAAATGTGAATATGCATAACATTGCATGTAATATTAAATTTCAGTATGAGTCATTTTATCTCCAGCCCTGACAAATTAACAAAAACTCTGAAGTGGTGGGGGAGAAAAAAAGACCGAATATAAGAGGCGAGGAAAAAAACCTGGTTGAGAATGCAAATATTGCCACCTGTATTGGAGATGAAAAAAAAAATGAGAAAAATACCAACTACCGTACAATACAGCTGAACAAAATAGAAGTAAATGCATCAGGACATTTCACCCCCAGACCTGTGCGAATGTAGAACAGGGAAGGCACCTACCACTGGCAGAGAAGAAGCAGCTAAGAAAGACAAGTCAAAGATAGAAGTAGTCTCCTGCTCTGAGTTGCCCTCTTGAAAAATCCTTCTGCCCACAGATAGCCTGAGATCATCAGCTTCATAAAGCTAAAATTCACCTTTTCCCACAGCCTCAAGAGGCCAGATGGATGAGCACTGTTAACCTATGGTGCTGTCTAACATGTCAATTGCTCTCATCTCATTCCTGACCATATGGATTACAGTTCCGTGTAGTGATTCTGACTGGAAGACCATTGCACTTTGAGGAGTTAGTGATACATCTAACAGTGTACACAAGCAAGCCCAGACCCATGCTGCATGGTGCTGTACCTCCAGCTTGGCCCTCCAGCACGTATCCTTTAGTCGCAGAATAAACCCAGCCTAACAGAAATGCCTGCATGCAGCTCCCTGTCAATACCAGCAATTATGCCCCCTGCATGTTCTTGACTTTATCTAAAAGTGTGTCAAGAAGTTTTGTGAATAACCCTTCATGTTAGACAGTAGGAGTGATGAAATTGTTTTCCTATTTAAAAAAAAAAATAAATTGTAACAGTTCAAATGATGGAAATGGAGCAACCCTTGCACGGACAGGGTCTGCACAGTGTGCTGTGCATGGATCAGAGGCTTGCTCAATGCTGCACAACTCAGGGTTCCCAGCACCAAAAGGGATAAGAGATTATCTGTATTATTTTCTTTTTGTTTGCAGCATTAACTCTTAAATAACATTTTAAATGATACTTTACAGAGTCTGAGTGCCTTTCTTAAAGGGACCACAACAGATTAGCACCTTCTGCTGCAAAACACTTAGTTCTCCACATGGCCCATTGTCCTGCACTAAGCAAACCACTGTTAAGAATACCACCATTGCTTAAAACCTTACCTTGCCAGTGAGATGCAGATGCTGGCACAGAGCCTTTTGCCAAGCACAGAGTTTCTCCGGATCCTTCACCTCACAGTAACAGTAATACAGAAGCACTTCTCCCACCTTGCTGTTCATAGCATGGCAAAGATGAACAAACAGGAGAAATAATGTTAAGGTTGAAAGTACAAAAAATATACTCTTAGCAGTAACCATTCAAAACGCACACAATTATCTTCCGGCAGATGCAGGGAGAAAAACAAAACAACAAACTTTGTGGAGGGATTAGCATGGCTGGGTTTGATTTATTTCAGAGAACAAATATGAACTAAAAAAACTCCACATTCCTAGTTCTCAGGACTGGTTACAAAACGAACTCTTCTGTGCTGGATGGGACATCTCTGCCAGTAGCCTGTTGTGTGCTATACTCAACATTCTCTCAACACATAAGACACAAGAACTACTGTTTTCTGTGTACACAAGTGTCCCACTAAGCGCCTGACAAACTTGCACTTGAAAATTCAAGTGCTTGAGCTATCTAAATTTAAAAAGGCAAAATTTTCAGCAAGACTGTGTGCGCTGGCATTCTAAGCAGCACCAGCTGAACTCCAGCAATCGTTTTCAGGAACCTACTTATTCATAACTAATGAGTCCTTAAGGTTCTTGAATGAGCAGAGAAAAAGAACCTGTGCAGAGAACACCCTGCTGTTCTGCTCTTTTCTGTTATGGTCCTTCCTTATACATCTAAGCTGTTGAGTAACATCTGTACAGGTCTGCTTTAACAATGAGGGATGATACAGCTCTGACAGTTCAACTCTTCAAAGTTCCCATCTTTACCATCAAAAAATGCAGTGTATCTACTTCTCTAAGTGGTAATCTTCATGTTTTCTACAGGCATGAGCAGTTATGAAAGGAAATAAAATAAACCAAGTGACTCCTGGAGGGTACCTGCACCTATGAATCTGAAGTATCTTAGGAAAGTATCCAAAGCATCTGGAGATCTAAAGGAATATCAGGGAAGACTTCTTCTGTACCTTAAAGTGTCACTTGACTAAATGTCATGGTTTAAACTTGGCCAGAAGCCAAACACCACACAGAGGCTTGCTCATGCTCCCCTCATCCCGGGGATGGGGGGAATGACTGGAGGGCTAAAGGGAGACTTGCAGATTGAGATAAAAACAGTTTAATAATTGAAATGGAATAAAACAATAAGAGAAAGTACAAACAGGTAATGCACAATGCAATTGCTCACCACCCACCGATACCCAGCCCGTTCCTGGCTAGTGATCCCGAAATACCAAGATCCCACAATCACAATCCTGGAAGTGATAGACAACTTACTCCTTCCTGGCCAATCCTCCTCTATATACTGAGTATGATGTTACATGACGTGGAATATTCCACTGGCCAATTTGATTCCAGTGCTCTGGCCAAGTTTCCTCCCAGCTCCTTGTACACCTGCTCATGGGCTGTTGGAGAGTCTCTGAACTCTTAACAACTGAAAACACCAGTGTGTTATCAGCATTATTCTTGTACCAAACCCCATACTGAATCCAAAACACAGCACTATTGTAGCTACTAAGAAGAAAAAATAACGTTGTGAGAGCTGAAACCAGGACACCGAACTCCATAAAAAGTACTGACTAAAGATGATAGAAAGCATAAGCAGCCCAACACCCCACTCCCAGACAGTACTGGACCTCCAAACTACCGAGGCCCTTTCTTACCTTGTCAGTTCGTCATAGCTAAAGTGGCTTGTGTCCGGGAGCGTACAGGAGATCTCAGGACTGCTATAAGGGTGCCCATGGAGCCCGTCTGCGCGGCCTGCAGGAGCCGGGCCGCTCGCGAGACTCGCTTCAGCGAGCGCCTGCTTGGCAGTCAGCCCTGCCTGCTGCGCGGCGTCCGTCGGCGCTGCCAGCAGCCCGATGTCCCCAGCGTGCTGCAGAGCCACATGCCTGTGAATGCCGGAGAGCTCCTCAAACGCCTGCCGGCAGCACCGCCACCGCACACCCTCTCCGCCGGCGGGACACCGGGCTGCAGCCGGCACCTCTTTTGCTTTGACGAACAGGGAAAAGGCCTGAAACGCACCACAAGCGCCGCCCGTTACCCGCGCTGCCGCCGCTGCCCGGGAC